GTAATTTTCTACATTACCTCCGCCGCTCCGATATCGATGATTTTGGTATCGTTGGATTCCCCTCACCCTATACAAGGCAAATATGTAGGTTTCATTTCAAGATTTCATTTAAAACCTGAAAAACGGCTAACAAATCAATTAATGTGAAAGACCAATAAATCGCACATATCTGAAATAGACAATAATTGGTAAATATTCCCTTTCCTTCTTAAGCACTCAAATCCTTCCATTTTTCACATTAAATTATCAAAAATAAATATTCGCTCGAATTTTTAAAATATTTTTTTTTTCAATATTCCATCGAAGAATTATAGGCCTATACGTAAAACTGAAAAAAAAAAAAAAATAAAAAAATAAAATAAAATAAAATGAAAATCCATCGAACTAGCAAAAAAATCCCCGAATCTCCAATGAAAGCAACAGTGAGAAGATCCTCGGACTGAATAAACCAAAAAGGGAAAACGAGATTTAAAATGGCAGAACTTGGACCGAAAACCTGGAGGCGCTGGATGGTGGTCTGCTCCCAAGCCCTCCCGTGTTACCGCCTATTTCCCCCTTTTTCCCTCATTTCCTCGCCTATTCCACCTCCTCCAGACCTTCCCTGAATACCAACAACTCCTCCGAAATTACTTACGTCGTTATTAGTTGTGTTTGCTAGCGGTGCGCGAGAAATAAAGGTTCACCTCCGCGATTTCCACAAAATGGCGTTCGAAGCTGGCCTGAAGATGGTGTCTGAATGCTTGCGCGACGGGATGGCTCTCAATTTTTGCTTAGGATTTTCACTTTAAGGTGTACCGAGAGGGACTATCGTTGAAATAAACGTAAAAAGGATCTTGGAATTTCAAATATGTAATAAATATCTCTTAGAGATAATTCGAAGAGATATACCTTCGAAAAAATTGATAATATGTGAACAACGACGGATCCCCGCGAACGGATTCGAACGAAGTGTAGAGAACGGTTTGGATTGATTTTTTTTCCTCACAATACAATGGCGACGTTACATAATCACAAATCCCAATGAAAATAATTATCATCTAACAAACAGGTGCTTCTAATCTCAAAAAAATACTCGTGTATGAAAGATAAAAATATACAACGCAATAAAACGAGAATATCCGTAAGTGGCAGCAGGTCAGTGTTGCCATATGTCGCGGACGCAATTTTCCCCGAGGGTCAAAGAACCTTTTAATTTTACAGAGACTTTTTTTATTATTTTTTTATTTTTTTGCTTGCGGAGAAATTCTTATGGGTTCTTACTCGCGCTCTTGCTTGGAAAATGAGGATATTAAGATGGTAGACATAGCATGGATGTTTAATTGCAAGAAAGACTGAAAGGCGTGGTTGTGTGATGGCTAGAAAAATAAATAAATGTTTGTACATAGACAGATAAAAAAATAATGATAACTAAAAATCAAAGACGAAAACGAAAAGAAATAGGTACATAGATTGACCAAGACAAACGAAATGAAAATGAGAATGGAAAATAAATAAATAGATGAATAAAATGAAATGCAAAAATAATGATGATGATAATAGTAATAATAATAACAATAATAATAATAATAATGATATGATAAATAATAATAATAATAATAAATAATATAATAATAATAATAATAATAATAATAATAATAATAATAATAATGATAATAATGATAATAATAATAATAACAACGATAATAACAATTCATAGACGAAAACGAAAACAAATAGCTACATAGACTGATCAAGACAAACAAAATGAAAGAGAATGAAAAGAAAGAGCATAAAACCTGGAAAATGAAACACAAATAAAAGTAAGAATGAAAAGCACAATCCCACATTTTGAGTTGCAATAACCCTAAAACCGACTTAAAACCCAAATGGAGGAACCTGCAGAAGTCAGCTTTAAATCTACAATTTTTTCTCTTGGTCTAATGAGGTCGGCCGCTCATATACGACATATGTGTATATGATATCCATTTATTTTATATTTTGCTTCCCTTTTATTATATATGTATGGTATATTTTCTATGTCTGAATTCACTATTCATATTTCTTTTTTCTCCCATTCAGCTGTTGGTTTCCTATTATCCGCTAATTCTATTGTAAATTAGTGTTACGAATTCGGTATATAACCTCAATTTGCATTTTTATTTTATTAATATTATTATTATTATTATTTTTGGGGGGGTCGTATCCCACGCTGTTTAATTTTACTTTGCTCATCCGCTCTATTTAATTCTCTTAAGAGTATTATTTGGCAATCAACCTCTTTTAGGTATCTTATATTTCCCACTTCTTGCAAAACCGTTTCGTTATTTTTTTATTTATTATTATTTTATTTTTTTACATTTATTTATCCCTTTTCCCTCCCCTTCCTCCCATGGGACTGAACATTCCATGTCTTATCAGAATTTGCCTTTCCTTTCTCTTTCCATACAAGGCTACCACTGTCACCTCCCAAAAGACCCTCTTATTTCTTTCTCTTCTTTTCTGTCGTTCTCTCCAAAATTACCTGGGTGTAGCAGTGTCCAGCAAGATCCACAGGATACATGTATTCTATGGATCCTGGTGTTCCTTTCTGTTCAAGTTCAGTCGGTCACTAAACCACCGATTACACAGGCAGAAAGGAGCCTACAGCTAAGTCCTGCTGTTGTCCAATTCTGATATCAAGTATATGTATTTTTTTATGCATGACGTTGGCATACTTTTTTACTTTTTATTTTCTTATGCGACAGAGACCATTTTCTAAGGGAGAGGCTAGATCAGTAGCAACTGGATGAGGTGTCTGATTCTATTTTTGGAAAAAAAAGCACATGGGGTTTATTTTGATGACGTCACAAATGTCACGGATGCTTCGTGAATGTGGTCGATCATTTTGGTCTCTTCAGTTTTCAAATAGAGCACAATAAGAAATTAAATTAAATTCTCTTTCTGTTCGTTACTTGTGTTTATATTTGTGTTCAAAACTTCTGTTGTTGTGGCTTCGAAACGGGGAAGGTTGGATCAGTAACAACTGGAGATGTCATGGCGTCCCTCAGGGCTATTTTGATTGTTTAACAAAAATATAACCATTAAAATCATTATTTTCCATCCTTTTGGAAAATTGGAGAGATCAATATAATTGACCATATTCGCAATGCATCCGTAGCTCCTGTGACGTCATCAAAATAAACTCCATGTGCTTTTTCCAAAAATAGAATCAGCCGCCATGACACCTCCTCGAGTTGCTACCGATCTAGCCCTTCCCGCTTGGAAACTCATTCAGATATGATTCGAAAACTATATTTCAATAAATCTTGATTTTGAGAACTGACAGGAAACTAGACAAAGCAAGGATTTAATGTAAACTTTTGAAATATTAACTCGACGCCGCCATTCATGTAAATTAAGTTAGGCTCGAAATTAGGAATAGGTTAAATATTGTTTCTTTTAGCTACTGCATGTAAACGGCGATGGAGAGAAAAAATATTGTCTACGTTATATGAAGATTCGTAATGCCACCTACGTATACAGGCTATGTTTGCCAAAAAAAAAAAAAAAAAAAAAAAAAGATTAATATGCTTAATGTATAACCCCGTTTGCTCACTTGGACTCATTACTTTATTACCTTAATTAATACAAACACACTTCGCGGAAAATAAGCAAAGCAATCATTTTAGAAAACAAGAATAAAAAAGATTATGTCACCTGTTTCGAGAACCTAAACTGCATTGACAATAAAAATAATAATCAAAGGAAATTCAGAGGGTCCCAGAGTGCAATAATTATGCATAAAATCCGAATATATTCACCAAAGGAAATACAGCTGAGGAAAATGTTTACGATATAATAATAATGATTGGCAACTGTGTATGCTAGGGACCGGGGGGGGGATGAGGTGAGTGTCCGTGTGTGTGTGTGTGTGTGTGTGTGTGTGTGTGTGTGTGTGTGTGTGTGTGTGTGTGTGTGTGTGTGTGTGTGTGTGTGTGTGTGTGTGTGTGTGTGTGTGCGTGCAATGTGTGTACAAGTGTAAGCGCAAATTAATATATAATATGTGTTCATTAAGTCTTCAAACCCCTAATTTCACGCGGCATAAACACACTAACGAAAATGAAATAATCAAAATGGCTCGTTACAGGAAATTAACTTTAGCCTAAAATTCCTTCCATGTTCTTTTATTGTTCATTATCATGTCGTTATTCCTCGTTCGCTCATGAATTGCCGAATTCGACAATTTTAATCTCAAAAAATTGTACACGGTCATTCGATTACCAAAACCATTAAATTTATAGTATGTTCGTATCCCCAATCAAGGCAAAAAAGCACAAAATATTTATCATTTCTTCTTCTCCCTAAAAGAGAGAAAGGGAGACTTTTCACGATTTTTTCTCCAATCTTTCTCCATTTATTATTATTGTTTTTCTTGTACACATCATCACAGAATTTCGCAATTCGGGAAATAATTTTCTTTGTAATTTTCAGGGATATTTTCGACCATGATACATCTGGAAACAACAGCATTATCATTATTATTATCATTATCACCATCACCACCATCATTCGTCACCATCATCTCCAACCCCACCATTATCATCATCAACACCATCATAATTCATCATCATCAACACCATAATTCATCATCATCAATCATCATCACATCATCATCACATCATAATTCATTATCATCACCATCATAAACCATCATCATCACCATCATAATTCATCATCAACAACACCACCATCACCCTCATAATTCATCATTAACACCATCATAAATCATCAACACCATCATCATCATCCCTATCATAATTCATCATCAACACCATCATCACCATAATTCATAATCATCATCACCATCGTAATTCATCATCATCACCATTATCATCATCATCATAACCATTATCATTAATACGATTGTAGACACCTATAATTTCTTTTAAAAAATAGATTTTAGATAGAAGGAAATAAGAAAATAGATAGACAGAGAGAAAGGAATGCATGTGCAAAAACATACATATCTTATATATATATAAACGCACACATATACATAAACGTACATACATACATACACACACGCACACACGGATACCTAAATAGATGTTATGCATATGTAAATCACAGTGTTTAGACTACACTTATAATAATACTGATAATAACAATAATATTTTATTTCCTACTCATGAACGTTACGTAAAAAGAAAAAAAAAACAAACAAAGACATGACTTTTCATCAGAACAGTTGCCAATGGTGCATTTTTTGGATGATTCATTTAATGGTATATAAAAAAATGTAAACACTTATGAAACCAGTAATGAAGGCTATGACCTTGGAGCCAAATTAATAGTTAAGATACAGATGTGTTTTTTTTTTATAATCTTTCCAAGGCAAGTCCCAGCAAAAGCTAATAATTTTTCTGGATTTAAATATGGGAAAATCTGCAATTGCATCTCGTTCATTCTTGCCTTAAAATTGTTGAAGTACTCGGAAAAAACATCGTTACATATACTATCCCTTTACAAGTTGAAATGGAAACAAAACAACATCAACATAAAAGAGAACATTCTAATTACAACTTTGAGATTAGAAATTATTGAATTACTCGCAATCTAATAATAAATATGGCAGACTCCTAAACAACCCATCATTACATATACTATCCCTATACAAGTTAAAACGAAAAAAAAAAAAAAATAGATTTCAAATAACAAATTTCAGTTTTGAATAATAATGTTAGGCTGAAGTCTCCCAGTTTAACTTTGCATTTAATTATTCATATGCATGTCATGTGATTAATACCTCAGATAAAGAAAAATGTCGAGTCAAATATAAGCGGTTTTATGAATTATGTAAACAATATTTTCCAAACGTGTTAGTCTTCTTATATGTTCAGCAAATAATGTTAATCACCTATCATTTCTGACAGAATATTAAGGCCAATCCTTTTAACATGAGTGAAATATTTCCAGTACAATATTATCGAAAGTGTCAAAGCATCAGGTATGTAAAGATATACCTGATGAATGTATAGTGTAATCTCGTCATAATTCTACATGAAGAGAGAGAGAGAGAGAGAGAGAGAGAGAGAGAGAGAGAGAGAGAGAGAGAGAGAGAGAGAGAGAGAGAGAGAGAGAGAGAGAGAGAGAGAGAGAGAGAGAGAGAGAGAGAGAGAGAGACAGAGAGAGACAGAGACAGAGACAGACACAGGACAAGAGAGAGAAGAGAGAGAGAGAGAGAGAGAAGAGAGAGAGAGAGAGAGAGAGAGAGAGAGAGAGAGAGAGAGAGAGAGAGAGAGAGAGAGAGAGAGAGAGAGAGAGACAGACAGACAGACAAACACATACACACACACACCACAGATAGAGATAGATAGAGATAGATAGATAGATAGACAGACAGATAGATAGATAGAGATAGATAGATAGATAGATAGATAGAGAGAGAGAGAGAGAGAGAGAGAGAGAGAGAGAGAGAGAGAGAAACTTTGACAAACATAAAAAAGTCTCCTTAAACATTTTTCGGATTACGCACAATATCAAAATGTTCTTTTTAAAAAAGAAATGAGTTCCGACCGCATACCCTACGTGATCTAATTGACTTATTGTTTACAAATTATGATGATTTATTTATCTTTTTGCTCTTTTCTTTGTTTTGTTTTCAGCGAATAACGGTCATTGTGTTCTAAATACCATGAATGGGCTCTTTGTCTCCTGCACTTGACCCTCTGACCTTCTGCCATATTAGAACTTTTACGAAGTTATCTGAAACCTCTCGGAGTTCAGCGTCAAAGGATGAAGAGGCAAAAGCGTGGCCCGAAACAGGCGCCGGAATGCACTCTCGTTCCTGCCCAGTCGTTCCCGTTCACTTCACAGCCAACCATGACGAGGGACTAATGACTATTTCCCTGTAATACATCTGCCACGCTCTCTGTCTGTTAACCATTTAATTATTTTCTTTTTTTTTTCGCTCATTTCAGTACATCCTCTTCGGGAAAGGCTTGGTCAGTAGCAACTCGAGGAGGTGTCATGGCGTCTGATTCTATTTTAGGGAAAAAAAGCACATGGGGTTTATTTTGATGACGTCACAAATGTCACGGATGTTTTGTGAATGTGGTCGATCATTTTGGTCTCTTCGATTTACAAAAAGGATGGAAAACAATTATTTTAACGGTTATATTTTCATTGAACAATAAATAAAACAGACGCCATGACACCTCCTCGGGTTGCTACTGATCTAGCCTTTCCCCATTCTCCTCCCCGAAATAAACCGCTCCTTCAGCACTGCAATCCTGTCATCCCAAGTCACTGTCATTATAATTAGTCTTTATGAGTGCATCTTCAATATCATTTAATATATTCAAGCATTCACACTCTCCCCTGTCATTGTATACCGCACGCTGATCTACAGAGGGAGCATGAAGATAAAAACTAAGATCTACAGAGGGAGCATGAAGATAAAAACTAAGATCTACAGAGGGAGCATGAAGATAAAGACTAAGATCTACAGAGGGAGCATGAAGATAAAAACTAAGATCTACA